TTTACGGGAATCAAATTTCAAGAGGTATGGTTGAAGGATAGTGTATACACATAGAAATTTTGATTCCCAAAACGGCCCTTTTGAGCCAGAAAGAAGCTTTACGGGAATCAAATTTCAAGAGGTATGGTAGAAGGAGAATGTATACGCATAGGAAATTTGACTCCCAAAACGGCCCTTTTGAGCCAGAAAGAACCTTTACGGGAATCAAATTTCAAGAGGTGTAGTAGAAGGCAAATATATATACACATAGGAAATTTGATTCCCAAAACAGCCCTTTTGAGCCAGAAAGAACCTTTACGGGAATCAAATTTCAAGAGGTATGGTAGAAGGAGAATGTCTACACATAGGAATTTGATTCCCAAAACGGTCCTTTTGAGCCAGAAAGAAGCTTTACGGGAATCAAATTTCAAGAGGTATGGTAGTAGGAGAATGTATACGCATAGGAAATTTGACTCCCAAAACGGCCCTTTTGAGCCAGAAAGAAGCTTTACGGGAATCAAATTTCAAGAGGTATGGTAGAAGGAGAATGTATACACATAGGAATTTGATTCCCAAAACGGTCCTTTCGAGCCAGAAAGCAGCTTTACGGGAATCAAATTTCAAGAGGTATGGTAGAAGGAGTGTATACACATAGGAAATTTGATTCCCAAAACGGCCCTTTTGAGCCAGAAAGCAGCTTTACGGGAATCAAATTTCAAGACGTATGGTAGAAGGAGAGTGTATACACATAGGGAATTTGATTCCCAAAACGGCCCTTTTGAGCCAGAAAGAAGCTTTACGGGAAATTTCCAGAGGCATAGTAGAAGGAGAATGTATACACATAGGAAATTTGATTCCCAAAACGGCCCTTTTGAGCCAGAAAGAAGCTTTACGGGAATCAAATTTCAAGAGGTATGGTAGAAGGAGAATGTATACGCATAGGAAATTTGATTCCCAAAACGGCCATTTCGAGCCAGAAAGCAGCTTTACGGGAATCAAATTTCAAGAGGTATGATAGGAGGAGAGTGCATACACAGAGGAAATTTGATTCCCAAAATGGCAATTTCGAGCCAGAAAGCAGCTTTACGGGAATCAAATTTCAAGAGGTATGGTAGAAGGAGAATGTATACACATAGGAAATTTAATTCCCAAAACGGCCATTTCGAGTCAGAAAGCAGCTTTACGGGAATCAAATTTCAAGAGGTATGGTAGAAGGAGAATGTATACACATAGGAATTTGATTCCCAAAACGGCCCTTTTGAGCCAGAAAGCAGCTTTACGGGAATCAAATTTCAAGAGGTATGGTAGAAGGAGAGTGTATACACATAGAAATTTTGATTCCCAAAACGGCCCTTTTGAGCCAGAAAGAAGCTTTACGGGAATCAAATTTCAAGAGGTATGGGAGAAGGAGAATGTATACACAGAGCAAATTTGATTCCCAAAACGTCCATTTCGAGCCAGAAAGCAGCTTTACGGGAATCAAATTTCAAGAGATATGGTAGAAGGAGAGTGTATACACAGAGAAAGTTTGATTCCCAAAACGGCTCTCTTGAGCCAGAAAGAAGCTTTACGGGAATCGAATTTCAAAAAGATACCGAAAGCTACGGAGCTGTTAAAATGTTTTTGCCGGAGCCTTGTAGCGATGCCTGTCCAACTTGGCAAAACAACCTAAAGAGAAACTTGCGCTTACCTTGCGCCAGACTTGGGTTCAAAACAGGCATTGCAAAGGCAAAAAAAAATTCACTAAATCCAACAAAACCTTCTATGTGTATACATTCTCCTTCTACCATACCTCTGGTAATTTGATTCCCGTAAAGCTGCTTTTTGGCTCGAAATGGCCGTTTTGGGAATCAAACCTATGTGTTTACACTCTCCTTCTACCACAAATTTGATTCCCGTAAAGCTTCTTTCTGGCTCAAAAGCGCCGTTTTGCGAATGAAAGTTTCTCTGTGTATACACTCTCCTTCTACCATATCTCTTGAAATTTGATTCCCGTAAAGCTGCTTTCTGGCTCGAAATGGCCGTTTTGGGAATCAAATTTCCTATGTGTATACATTCTCCTTCTACCATACCTCTTGAAATTTGATTCCCGTAAAGCTGCTTTTCGGCTCGAAAGGGCCGTTTTGGGAATCAAATTTTATAAGTGTATAATTGTGTATACACTCTGCTTCTACCATACCTCTTGGAATTTGATTCCGTTTTGGTAGGTATGGTTCCGTCTGTCCTGCCTACCAGCTCTGATCCGCTACAGCAGCAGATGTTCACTGATACAGAAAAGAACAACGATATTAATATATCTTGCGCCCGCCCTTGCGCTTTCTTGCGCCTCCCAGGCAAAACGCACTACAAATTTACAACAACATACTCCATTCATACGGTTGTATAAAACTCCTCTGCGGGGGTTTTGATCGTCACTCATCTATCTATCTATCTATCTATCTATCTGTCTATCTGTGTACCTATTTATCTATCGATCTATCTCTCTCTCTCTATGTCTCTTCCATCTAATTACCTATCTATCTATCTATCCATCCATCGATCCATCCATCCATCTATCTCTCTATCTATCTAATCTATCTATCTGTCTGTCTGTCTGTCTGTCTATCTATCTCTCTCTCTCTCTTTCATCTGTCTATCTGTCTAGCTGTCTACCTGTCTATCTGTCTATCTATCTATCTATCTATCTATCTATCTATCAATCATCTATCTATCAATGCATCTATCTATCTATCTATCTATCTATGTACCTATTTATCTATCGATCTATCTCTCTCTACCTCTCTTCCATCTAATTACCTATCTATCTATCTATCCATCCATCCATCCATCTATCTCTCTATCTATCTAATCTATCTATCTGTCTGTCTGTCTGTCTATCTATCTCTCTCTCTCTCTCTTTCATCTGTCTATCTGTCTAGCTGTCTACCTGTCTATCTGTCTATATCTGTCTATCTGTGGTGCAGTTGTCATTCAGTGGTAATGTAGTGAAAGTGCAATGTAAGTGGTAGTGTAGTGGAGTTTAAGTGAATGTCGTGTAGTGTAATGTAGCGTATTGAAATTTAGTTAGTGAGTGTATGTAGTGTAGTTTGTGTATTGTAGTTGGTATGTAGTGATGTATTGTAATGTAAGTGAAGTGTAAGTGGAAGGTAGTGTAGTGTATTAGTGTAGTTGTAGTGAGTTGTAGTGTAGTGTAATTTAGTGTAGTGGCGTGTAGTGGAGTGTAGTTGTGTAGTTGTAGTTGTAGTTGTAGTGTAGTGGAGTGTAGTGTAATGTAGTGAAGTGTAGTGGAAGGTAGTGTAGTGTAATGTAGTGTAGTGTAGTGGAGTGGAGTGTAGCGTAATGTAGTGTAGTGTAGTGTAATTTTAGTGTAGTGGAGTGTAGTGGCGTGTATGGCAAGTGTCGTTGTTGTCGTTGTACAGTTTGTGCGTTTTCTTGGCGTTTCGTTTTGTTGTGCGTTGGTCGTTTGTAGTGGATTGTAGTTGTAATGTTGTGGAGTGTAGTGTAGTGTAATGTAGTGTAGTGTAGTGGAGTGTAGTGTAGTGTAATGTAGTGTAGTGTAGTGAAGCGAAGCAAGCGACATCTGAACCTCCAAAAGTGGTCCGAACTCCTGGTGTTTTTTAACATGTTGACTTCGAAATGTGCTTTGCGCCACAACGGCGTGCACTTTTTCGACATCTCAACCTCCAAAAGTGGTTCCGTTGTAACCCCCTGGTGTTTTTTAACATGTGGACTTCGAAATGTGCTTTCGCGCCACAACGGCGTGCACTTTTCGACATCACAACTTCCAAAAGTGGTCCGAATCAACGTGGTGTGTTTTTTGACATTTTGGACCTTCGAAATGTGCTTCGCGCCACAACGGCGTGCACTTTTTCGACATCTGAACCCCCAAAAGTGGTCCAAACCCTTAGTGTTTTGAACATTTTGACTTCGAAATGTGCTTCGCGCCACAACGGCGTGCACTTTTTCTACATCTCAACTGCCAAAAGTGGTCCGACAATGGTGTGTTTTGTACATTTTGACTTGGAAATGTGCTTCGCGCCTCAACGGTGTGCACTTTTTCAACATCTCAACTGCAAAAAGTGGTCCGAACGTGGTGTGCTTTGTACATTTTGACTAGGAAATGTGCTTCGCGCCACAACGGCGTGCAATTTTTCATCTCTCGTCTGGCCAGCTGGCTCCGCACCCGCCGCTTTGGCGAGCCTACTTTTCGACCCTCCGGAGCCACAAATCATTGGAAAACACAGTGAGTCGCGACTTTCCTACCTTCTCGCGCATCTGCATCTTCTTCTGACTCTTTCTCTTCTAGTCTTCTTTCTTCTAATCTTTCTCTTCTCTCTGCCTCTTCCCTCCTCTGCGTTTCATCTGTCCATATTGTCGGAAGTTTGACTTCTAAACTTCCTTCGAATAGTAGTATTCATATTATTAGGCTTCAGCTCAAGTTCCCTTTTCGACATGGGACAGAAGGTTTTCGGATCTTTGCGTCTTGCAAAGATTCACCTTAGATTTGAAACTGTGACACTCCCTCTCTTTTCCGCTTTGTTGTCTCCATGGAAGGAGACAAGTTCACAATTGCCTTCAAGATCTCCATGGAAGGAGAAATAAAGGTAAACACCTGAAACTCATGAAATAAATCTTCCATGGAAGGAAGTTTGTCGAAAACAGAGAGGTATCTCCACGGTCCCTTTCACGATCTGTTTTCAGATTGTTTTAGGACTTAGAAAAAGAAAGTTGAGTGCGAACGGACCACTTTTGAAGCATGGCTTTGGCTTCTGGTTTAAAGGTCAGCCCAGGAAGGTAGCTGAGGCCATCAGCCAAGTATATTTTGGCCACTTTGCTTGAGCCCCAGCGTCCTTTGAGCAACGCCTGCTCCATGGAGCCTGTGGCCTGAAACAAGGCGGTTGCTCCGCCTCTTCTTAAACTATACGGTCGAAACTGCTGATCTAGGATATGAAAAACTTTGCAGTGGTGCCGGAAGGCATTTCTGAAGCACTGCGCCGAGCGTGTCCAAAGGGGGACCCGGCTCATATGTCTATCCTTAGCATCCTGAGTGGCGGCAAGGAGTACTTCCAGCGCCAAATCCTCAGTGATGGATACCGTTTCTTGCCCAGCATTCCTCAGACCAGTCTTAGTATTCTTAAGGCTGACAACTGCGGCTGTCGAACCTACCATGATGTCTCTGGCAGTAACTTGCAAAAACTCTCCTGTACGGAGTAGCCCCCAAAAGCCCAGCACTAGCATGCAAGCAAATTGCAGGTCATTGTGGTCAATGGCATACAGGACCATGCTTTCGACTATCATGGCGGTAAGTGGCGGAGCCCTGTTCGGAGACTCCACCTTGCGCCAAACTCTGAAGAGGCGCCACGCTTGAGGTATTTTGTATTTCGTCCATGGTTGATAGTGCTGAAGTCCACAAAGAGCATCACTGACTATGTGAATAGATTCGCCTGTCTCCCAAACATGTTGTATCCAGTCTGTGACCACGTCATCCAAATGTCGTGTTGCTTTGATTCCATCCAAATGAGGCAACAGCTTTTGTAATCCCTGGTAGTATCTTTCTTGTGTTCTTTTTGTAATTGCAGCATCCCAGAGGATTATGTGCTTACGATCTCGCACCCTTTCCTGTCGAGTGCGTCTAGCGCAAAACTTAAAGTCTGCTCGCCCCATCAGTTGGATTCTCGCTACTTTCTACATGAGCCAATATGCAGTAAATGTTGTACCCCAGTAAGTAAGCGTTTATCTGTTTGAGAATTCGAGCCAACATCTTGCTTCCAGTGCGTCCCTTTGCCAAAACGCTCATGCAAATATAGCTGTCAGTGATGTGAAAAACCCTGGCATGTGAACAGCGCAAATGTGAAGTGTAATATTTGATTGCCTGGAGTATTGCTCGAAGCTCTAAACAGTTGATGTGCTCATGAGTTTTCCAATGAAATCTGAAAAGACCTTGACAATCCCACCAATCTGCAGGAACGCTCTGTCTCGCGGCAGCTTTTGGATTCAAGATTTCCCCCGTGGTTACTTTTATATCACTCCCAGTATGATTTGTTTTCGTAAGGAGGATCTGGTTGAGTTCCTTAACAGAGAACATGTCATTCGTCAATGTAGACCCATATTGTAACCTGCGTTGAAGGGGTGCTTGACAATGAAACGGAGCCAAAAACCCAGGTGCTAATCCCATACGTGCTGCGACTGCTTTGTAATGGACACTTGGCAAAAACTTTTTGCACAAAGCAGCTGCTACTATGGCAAACGAGAAAATGCTGAATGAGTCCCCCAAAAGTGAAAGTCGTTCATCCTCGTACGAGCGCTTGGCACCCTTAATCTTCGAAGCAGGCCAACATAGCGAGGTGTGTTTGTATCCATAGCCCAAAAGCAATTCTTTCTCCTCACTGTTTGCCAGACGCCATCGATCGTTTTTCCAGAATAAGAATCTTTCCAAGTAATGGTATGGCGGGAAGCGGAAAGAGTCCGCTTGATACCTGGCCAAACAGTCGCTGTCACATCTTTTTATGCCTGCTGGACTTGGAGGTGGACGGGTTCTTGCTATCGATTTCAATGCAGTGAGTAGAGTCTGTCCACCTTCTCCACCTGGCCAAGAATATCCAGGTTCAACCCAGTCCTCCAGAAGGGGATAAGGTACTACTGCTTTGACTTCCGTCCAGTGAGAGCAGACTTCGAATTCCAGACCTTCCATACTTCCTTCTAACAACTCAGAGCACCAACATAGACGAGGTCTTTGCATAGGGACTGCGTCTGCACAATTCAGATGGTATGGATAGACCCCCAAGGTGTCAGTGATTTTCTCGCACCCCCCTTTCTGCATGGAAGCCACATTCTCAGCAGTGTAACGAACCGTCACATGTTTGGGCACGGTTTCTTTGGCCAGGTTGATGATTCTGGGCAGTTCAAAGAATAGTGAAGACTGAGGTCCATCAAGTCCTTTGCCCCCTGCTTTTACAGATGACAAGTCCACGCAAGGGAAACCTCCCCATATATGAAGTTCACTAACTTCAGGGTATTTAAACATCCACCTCTCAATCATGGCCTTGTCAATTGTTCTGACGTCCCCATGTAGTTCTGCCGGTGGCCATCTCCGGGAAGTTATGCGTTGTGCTGGTCCAAGTGTATCAAAAGCAATCAATCCCAATGGTTTTATGCCTAACATATCATAACACCTAAAGGAGCCCCCTATCCCATTGAAAAGGGAAAGCGCCACGATGTTCGACACTTGGATGGGGGGCTCCCCCAACACTTGAGCCAGGAAGTCTCTTCCAGAAATACTGAGTTGTTTGCTGATTCCAACGGCTCCTCCCAAATGAGAGGCATCAGAAGCTGTAATAAAAGATAGTACCTCTGCCCCCAAAAAGCTGTGAAGCAGAGGCGAGGCACATATGCACCCAAACAGTTCGCGCCTCACTGTCCCCTGCAAATTCAGTTTCAGACCCTTGCTGGAGATGTATTCCCAAATGGTGCTCAGGAGGCTCATGCTGGGGCGCCGGAATTGAAAAACATGTACCCAACGCCCCGCAATCACTTGTTCTAATCTCTTTGCCATCACCGGTCTTTGGATGAGCCACAAGGTTGCCTGAATCAGTTTCACCAGCCGCTCGGCTGAGGGCCCCATGCACCGCTGACTGCCGTCTAGAAAGGCTCCCAGTTCTTGTCCCGTGAAATAACCCCTGCAACTCCTGGGCACCTGCAAAACTCGAATCGGCTTGTCCTACTTCGGCTGCAGCAAAATTGTCCAAATACAAATGCCACCAAAAACGCCCTTGGGCTCTTGCCTTCTTCAGCAACCCAACCATCCACAGAGGCACAGGGCGCCCTCTTCTCATTTGCGCCTCCTTTGGGACGCTCTCATGGTTCAACAGTGCCTCACTCACCTCTTGCATGATGGATACTGAGGAGCTCCATCCCATTGGTAAAACATTGCATGAAAGGCAAACCCAGGACGTGTCAGAGCTGTCCATGACGTCACATCGCCGCTGCATCAAATTGAAGCTGAGAAACTTTCTCCACTGCTTGGGAATCCTAAATAAATAAAATGCATTTGACATGCCCGACTGCCATAACTTCAGGACTTCCCCATCTTCAATAAAGGTTGAAAGCCACGAAGTAATATGAGGAAGATGTTGTGTGGCTCCTTGAAACTGCTTGAGAACTGCATTTGCCGGCACGAGGTTCATGATAAGGCGCAGAACGGGCCTCCCTGACCCAGTAAAACTAGGTTTTGGTACCCTGAAAAGTCCATTCAGAATCTTTTGTCCCCTAAAAACTGCAACCTCTTCCAATGGCGTCCAACTGCAAATACCCCTTTTAACTAACTCCTTCGCAATGATTCCTTCATCCGCTTTCTCAATGTGAATACATGTGAATACGACCTTGAAGTTTAGGAAGTTGTTGCCCCACATCTGTTAAGTTACCATCATCACATCTGGATTCAGCAGAAAACTTCGTGTAGTTTGGGAAACAAACTTCAACACATCAATGGACCCTCCATGTTCAGCAGGGGGAAGCGCTGGAGCTATTTGTTCAAAGGTGAGCTTGTGGCATGTGCCTACTTCCTCCCCACTGTAGTTAACGCGTTTCCCCAGCAACTCTTTTTCAAGCCCATCGATGTCATCAATGGACCCTCCATGTTCAGCAGGGGGAAGCGCTGGAGCTATTTGTTCAAAGGTGAGCTTGTGGCATGTGCCTACTTCCTCCCCACTGTAGTTAACGCGTTTCCCCAGCAACTCTTTTTCAAGCCCATCGATGTCCGGGAACTCAGCTAGGCCGTGGGTCCTCATTCAACTCACCGATTGGTCCACGGCTTTTACCAGGGCCTTCGCCTCACGGTTCCAATCCCCTTCCAAAAACGGCACGGGATCCTTCCAGAGGCTATGGCAGGCAAAACTAGCTAATACCGTCCAGGCTCGTTGGGCCCAGAGAGAAACAAATTGGTCTTCAACTGCTTCCTCAAAACGCTTCTTCTGAAAAACTGATTTCACCACTGCAAACTCCCCCAGTTTCAAAGGAAAGGCAACCCTAGGGGATGCCCTGTGTCCCATGTTCGAAGAGAAAATACAGCTCACAAAAAATGAACTCCCCTGCGTACGTGAAACATCTTGCCCGTTGAAGAAGCTCCAAGCCAGTGCGCATCCACTTTTGTCCAGACTCACATAGGCTTCAAGGACGCCTTTCCAGCTCACTTCGTTCAACCAGCCTTCAGTGCTCACGGCTTTTGCCAGAGCTATGCTTACTTCTCCTCCTGCTTGTCTCTCGCTTTTTCCCACTCGGCAACCTTGGTGTCCCAGTGAGCTCCGCGCCCCTTTCCTTTTTTGCCCTTCTCTTTGCCCTTTCCTTTGTCTCCTCTGCCTGTCGGAGTCCAGTCGCTCGACCCCTTCCATGTTCCTTTTCCGCGGCCACGGCCACCTCCTTGCCAACTTGCCCAGGGCGAACTTGGTCTGCCTTGCACCTTGTCCACCAGGCGCCCGTGTTTCCTGGACGCTAAGACCAGTGCGGGACTTCCGGCGGCTGCCTCCTCCATTGGGTGCAGCTCCATGTGCCGGGCGGTGGCCCAGTTCTGGTCCAACAGCACTTGGTGCAGCGCCATGTAGCGCGCCGCCAGAGAGTCGCCCACGCGGGCTATGTCGCCCTTTCGTAGCAAATCTATCGTTGCTGCTAATGAGTGCATCTCTCGTAGTTCCCTCAACTGGTGAGGGAAGCTCGGTTTCACATGGGCAAAATAAGTTGCCACTTTGACCCCTCCTGTGACCGTGGGTCCACCCTCTGGGACTTCTGTGAGGGCTCCTTGCTCCATCTGTTCCCTCACATGGCTCGTGAGGATGGCCAATACTGATCCCGGATGGTCCCGAGATTTCCTCCGTATAGGCGCCTCCATGTCGCTCTCGCTGGAGTCCTTCTCCTCCTCTTGATCCTCCGAGGTGGAGTCGTAGCTGCTGCTGCAGCTTACTATGGTGCCATCCATCAATTTCCTCTTCTTCTTCTTCTTCTTCTTTGGCTTTTTCTTTTTCTCCTTCTTGTCCTTCTTGGACTTCGACGGCATAAGGATCTGAACCAAGGCATCGGCTATCTCCTTCTTCTTCCCGTCCTTGGAGGACTTCCTCTTCTTCTTCGCTTTATTTCTTCCGTTGAGCTGTGAGGGCCAGGGCCTTGTCGGTCAACTGGCCACTCCAACTCTTTGTAATACCTCCGCTTGTAGCCGGATGCGCATCGGCGTAAGGCGTACGTAAGGTGCCAGCGCCTCTTTTTCTCGACGACGCCGGTGCTTCTTTGTGCTCTCCACCAGCACGCCCGTCTCCAGAACGGAATCCTCTGCAGAAGAGTCGACCTGTTCCGCAGACTCCGACGGCTGCTTCCGGTGGCTCCTCCTGGGGTGGATTTAGTAAGGTTCTTTGTGCTGATTGATGGTGCTTCTGTGATGAAGTGATTGGCGTTGCTTTTATTTAGTGGGTGGTAATGTGGATTTAAAACTGAAGAATGGTGTTCCGGATGTTTACAAATCGATCAGTTATAACTAAAAAACAAATATGACTGATGCTAAGCGTCACTGTGCAAAGATCCGATGTGTATAGTAGGTGATTCTGGTGTTTTTGTTGTGGCACAGAGCCCCTCCGCGCTCTGCGCGGTGGCGCCCTCCACAAACTTTACAGCAGCGCCTCCCATAAATTTTAACAAAGGAGGCAACACCTCCTTGAAAACAGGCTTGTGCGCAGGAGACCTTGCAAGGCCTTCCTTATAATGTCTGTCGAGCTATGATCAATCAATAACTTTGGCGTTACAGGAGGTTTCGATATTAAGGGCGATGTCCTCCTTGAAAGTTTCCGGGTCGTTCTCGGGGCCACTGTGTTTATGCGAAAGCGAGCAGCACCAAAGGACATTTGTTCAGCTCACATGCCTCGGTCCCGAACCTAACTAGCAGAAGAACTTTGGTGAAGTCGAAACTTCATATGCACCAACAAGTCGTCCAGGCAAGCGAAGCAGCCTTCGAAATGCGGCGCCTGGGGCAGCAGGTCATGAGGCATGGCGTTGATGGCGCCCAAAAGAAAAGAAGCAGCGCTATCCAACTCACCAACCTTTCCTGCAAGCAACCCGCGCGATGTCAAAGCTGGACATTTCTCGATCTTCTCTTGCATAGGCTGGATTTGTCCAGACCTGGTGTAAAGGTGAGCGGTCCATGTACAGTCTGTGGGCTCTGTGCCAGGGCGGTCCAGCGTCATCTGAAGGATGGTGAAAAACATGATGGCACAGGCAAGCGCACATGACCTGGTGCGGTCTTCCTTGAAGAAAGGCTGGCAAAAAATCAAAGCCTCACGAGCATTTTCCAGCTCAAACGCGCTCTTCTCCTTGAGTGCTGGATCCCACAGCAAGAAGGCTTGGACGCCCAACTGCAAGTCAGCTCTGTTGAGGACACCTTGGGGCAATCTCTTCTCACCTGCTGCTGCCATGTTGCAGGTTAGACTAGTTTTGTGAGCCAAAACCTGGGTCGAATGGGTCGATGCGATGGACAAAGCAAAACCGAGGTTGAATTGCATTGCGGCAATGTTCAGCACTGAATGTGCAAGCAATGTGGTAACCACGGCTAGCGCAGCTGACTCAAATGATTTTCAACAGGTCAAACTGGAAACATGCCGCCTATTCTTCAAAGAATGCCACGTGCTTGGAAAATGCATCGCACTAAGCGTCGCACTACACAAACAGACATGGCGTTGCCAATCATATGTCCTAATACCCTTTGTGGAAAACGTTGAAGTTCTTCAACATCTCCAGGCTTGTAGGCCCCAGGCCACACGCCTTGAAGCAAAAAAAAACTATCGGGGTGAGGAACCTCTGGCCTTGATGCCACCAGTAGCAATGCTTTCCTTTGCATCTGGTGGCAGTGAGGCAGGGGCATTTGTCCTCCATCCAAGTTGCTGAAGAACCGCCTGTGTCGACAATGAAGTCAGAGTCTTGTTTGGCCGGATTCTTGTCCAAAAAGTCTTGAAACTGGATCAAGTTCTTGCGGGCTGTGCTGGATAGAGCTGAGCCGTCGACATCGTGTGTCTTCTCCCGCAAGTTGCACTTCCATTCCATGGCAGGATTGCCAAGGAGCTGCTTGAGCGTGAGCCGCTCCTTGAAAGGCACTGGCCACTCAAAGTGCTTCACTTGCACGTCTCGGCGAATACCCACTCTGCAGAAACTCAGCCGTGGGAAGTAATAACTAAGTTGGAGGTACACTCACAGCTGGGCCAGGACTGCAAGGATCTTAAAATGTCTCCTGCTAAAATCAAGACGGTTGTACCATGCCATGCGTGTGACCCGTACTAAATTCGGGCCAACTGCAGCATTCAACGCGTATTTGACTGCCATGCTCGTGACCCGTACTAAATTCGGGCCAGCTGCAAGAGTCAACGCGTATTTGGCTGCCATGCTCATGACCCGTACTAAATTCGGGTCCTCTGGAGAGTTCAAAGACCAGGACTGCCATGTTAGCACATGGTCAACTGTGTAAGAACACGGCGGCCAAACGCGTATTTGCCTGCCGTGCTACCACCTGGCAGACCGTGCACTAACATGGCGCAGCCTCCTTGATAAAGAAAGGAGGCTGCCATGTTAGCACATGGTAAACCGTGTACGAACACGGCGGCCAAACGCGTATTTGCCTGCCATGCTGTACATGGTGAACACATGCAACACATGGCGGTCGAACTGCTTCCTGGAAATAGTAGGGAGAGGCCTTAGTAGCGATCTTTTTTAACTCAACTTGCTGCCCGCGGAAGGCAAAAATAGACAACAGGAGACTGCAGAAGCCTCCTTGCAACATGAAACGTTCGGCCTGTACAGGACCAGGAGACCTCTTGCACCTCCTTGTACCTTGTTACTGAGTGAATTCAGAAGTACGATGCCTCCGTCCTTGCAGGAGTCTACTGGAGCCTCCTTGATTGCTATTGCAGCGCATGCCAATTGACAGCCGTAGTTGCAGCAGGACAGGAGGCTCTTGACACTCCTTCTGCAATCAAAGTTGCCGAAAACAATTTCACCTTTTCTCTTCCGTCGTCGCGCACAGGAGACTTCGCTTGAACCTCCTTCGTGGACGAGTTTGCTTGAGTTGGGCGGGTGGCACTGACACACAGGAGATAGGTAGCTTTCAGCAGTGCGGTGAGCAGGCGAAGCAGCATGTTTGCGGAAACGAGCCACACGAATGTCACCACTGTTCACTTCATACCTTGCAAAGTGATGCCTGGAAACCGGAAACTTGGACATGGCTTCAGGACTCACTTCCTGAGCATCATGGCACAGTCGGCAGCCCAAGCCCCAACTGCCACTCTCCATATTCATTTTGGCGTCCAACCATGCTAATTCTTTCTGCCATACAGGCTTATATTTCACCCATGTGCATCGAGCACATTTTGCACCTGCAGAGCAAGCTTTCACATGTGCATCATCATCATAGCCGCCAAGCGAACAGTTGCCCAACTGCTCTGACATACTTGCTGATCCCTAGGTTTGAGCCGGTCAAGCAGAAAGGGAAATGTGTGCGGCTTGCAGCTAACAATAATAATGACTGATCAACTGATAGGAAAGCCTGCCAAGCTGGCTGCCGCCATGAAAGAAATTACTGAATGACACTCAGCCACCGTTCAAAGTGACCCCTTCGGCCATTTTTTCCCCTCAGCCGCGTCTCCCCTGCGGCGATGAGACGTTGATACACTCCGGACAACGGTCAGAGGCGACGTCCAAAAATGATCTTCAGCAAGTATCTGAATCTCAGTCTGGGAAATAGCAGCTTCAACAGCGCAGCTCTGCTCGGATCTTTTTGGCTAACTGGCGTGTCTCCGAGTTCTCAGCTGTCAGTGTTAAACATAGGGGTTTAGTTTAGTAACAAAACTTGAGCAAAAAGAGTCGAAACTTCTGGTGCAGTCAAGATGCGCTGTTCATCAAATAGCCATGCTTGTCTTTGAGCCCACCCTGCGGAGAAGCTGCTGTTGAACCATCTGGGCTGAGGTTGCTGCATCCTGCTTCCATGGCTTCTCAGAATTGCAAAACAAAGTCGACCTCTTTGGGCTCACCGGCATGAGGAGCTGGCCAAATCTTGTCGCTTGGCTCGTCTGACACATGGCTGAAAACATTGGTTGAGAAAACGCTGCTACTGACACAGGAGACCTAAGGAGCCTCCTTGCGTGACTTCCCCCTAGTAGCTGCTGGTGTTGACCAATTGTCCAGGAAACTATAGAAGCCTCTCTGCGCAATGAGCGTGGCAAAAAAAAGAAGAAGTTCACAAAACACTTTTCTCAGGAGTGTGTACCTCCTTGGCCAAGGAAGCTTATATGATGAATGTCAATGATCCTTGCTCAGGAGGGTGCACCTCCTTGGTCAGGACACTGATGGATAATGAAAACATGTCAATGATTGTTGCGTGCACCTCCTTGGTCCTGGTCAGGAGGTGTGATAATGAAAACTTGTGAATGAAATCCTTGCTCAGGAAGGTGTACCTCCTTGGCCAGGACAGGAAATCTGAATTCATTATGGAAACACTGGTAAATGATCTTTGCTCAGGAGGGTTTAGCCTTCGGCAAGGCATGTGACATATGAATTTACATGAGTCGATCATGGAAACAGTAACATCTAAACAAGACAAACATGTTTGAAGCAATACGTTTTCTCCAATATGTTAAATCAAGAGAGTTTTGGGCAACACATACATATCCCTGAATGACTTGTAACATATGTTAAAAACCAACTCTATAACCATGTCTTAAAACATAGAAGCACCACCAATCAGCGCAAAGAACCTTACTAAATCCACCCCAGCCTCTGCCACGCCAGTTCGGCCTTCTCCATCTCCCTTCTTCATTTTGGCATTCTGCAAACGCCGTTGGAGTTCTTTCCGCATGTCCTCGCCGAGGCCAGGAGCGCGGCGGTCGCCAGCTCCAGGCTTGATAGCGGCGGCGCGCCGAGGTTCGGCCTTGTCTGCCTTGGCTTTGGGTGTCTTGCCCTTTGCCCGAGGTGTTTTCTTCGGGGGGTCTGAAGCTGTTCCTCCCAAAGCCTTTTCCCACTTCTTGAGCTCGGCCCACATACGCTTTGGAACATACTCGCATGAGTCCCTGAGATCTTCTACGTCCCAGAGTCTGATGCGGGTGACATGCAAGCCAACCACAGGGTCGAGGTCCACACAAGGTCTGCTGAGACATAGGTGCACCATGATGACCCCATCCATCTCGTAGCGTTGAAGATCGGGTGGCAAATTTGCATCTGAACAACCCAGCAAGCGGCAGGCCAAAGCGTGACTGCCATCCAAACGGGGCTCCACCCGCAAAATGAAAAACAAAGCCCAATCGTCTCCAGCCGCGGCCATGGAACTGGTTGGTAGATGCACCTCCAACAGGGTGCCCACACGCGGTTCCAAGCTGCTCCATCGTGCAAGCTCCTCTACGTCCACTTCCGCCCCACTCACGTACTCGCCCATTTCACTTGCCCAGATTCCCCAGCTCAAACGGCCTGTCTCTGCCAGAGCTTAACTCCCAAAACTCAGGAGGGGGTTTACGATGCACCTCAAGCAAAGGATTGTCTGCCAACCTTCGGAAGCGCTGATGCTTCCTGCCTCCACGCTGTGTAGCAGGACGCCTTCTCTTCCTGTCCGAAGTTCGATGACCGCTGTGATGGTGCGGTTTCTCCTCTCGTACACGGCCTGAGCTCCGCTTTTCCTCACGGGGTTTCCCAGAGGTGCGGGGACTAGGCGGTGGCCCTTCAGGCTCTGGTGGACGATGATGTGGATCTTTTACAGGGCGATGATCTGGACTCTTTGCGGGGCGTCGACGCTCGTCTTCCTCTTCCTCACTTTCTTGGGCTTCCTCCTCTTCTGGCTCCTCTCTTTTGGGCGCTTGTCTCACTGATTTTTCTGATCTCCTCCTCGGCAGTGATTCCCGAGTATCACGGGGCTCAGGGCTGCGCTCGGTCCTGCGCCTCAGACTTGCACGGCTTTCGCCAGCAACGCCCTGCTCACGGCGTGCCAAGCCAGAGCAAAGGCTCCTGAGGGCACGAACCTGTCGGGCGGTGTTGATCACCAAGTCCCCTTCCAAAAGGCGGGCGCCAGAGCTGTCCCAAGACCCAGACATCACGGCCCAGGTATTCCCAGCCCGAGCAGCCCGAGCACCACGTGTCCCCCGGTGCAGCAGCTAATTGACGGCACTTAGCACAAACTGAACCGGGGGGCATTACCTATTTAAGCCACAACAGCTACCACCCATATACATCTTCAAAGTACACTGGCTTCAGCCTAAAATTCTAAAAGAAGGTTTTCATATAATCATATTACTTCATTAAAACTTGTTCGAAATTATTCGAGATGCACGTCGCATCACGTTGCCCCCGCTACCCCGCCAGGTGCCCCCCCGATGCCCCCCTCCCCCCCCCCGAAAGAAAGAAAAATGCGATAAAATGCGTGAATTCTAAAAAATAAGGTTGGGTTACAAATTGTTACTTACATTTTGTTACCCCATCATGTTTATTTTTTTCCTTTGGGGGGGAGGGGGGTCAAAAAAATTAAGTTAGGGTCGCGAAAATGTAAGTTACATTTTTTGACGGGTGGGTCCCCCCAATTTTTTTTGTTACTTTCATTTTTTGACCCCCCTTCCAAAAAGGTGCTTAAGGGGGTGGGGTTAAAATGATGATGACCAAGGTGTAGATCAACATATATCAAAATGACTTCAAAAGAAAATGCTTCTCCCGCTTCTTTCTCTTCCTCCGCTTTGGTGACTGCAATTGACGCAGCCAAGGTGATCAGCCGTAGGACCTGAGCTGTTTCTGCCAGGCGCTTCTTTTCTTTGTTGGCGAGCTGGCCGTCCTGTTCTTTCTTTTCTTCTTTCTTCTCTCCTTCTTTTCTTGCTTTTCCTTCTTCAACCCCAGCTTCACTTTTACTTTCTAGCTTTCCCATGCCCATGCAAACCTTCAGAAACTCAAATCGTGCTGCGGTCAATGGCTTCGTTCCAATGTCGGCCACCATGAACTCACCTGGAAAGTGTTGGAGAGCCCATCAGACACTGACTGTCTTGCATACGCAGCTCGAAGACGCAAGTGACGTGTGCGCCAACTGCCACCGTCACCTGTCAGGATTGACATTGTCGGTCTTCAGGACCTTGGGAACATCAGGAAAAAGTTCTTGTAAGATCACATGGATGCTTTCACCAGCCACCATGCCCTCGATGATCTCAATAAGCTCTGCTTCAGCTGTCAACAATGTCACAAAACCTTGCCGGCCAGACCTCTTAAAAACTGGAGAAGAGCCCAAAAGGACAACGAAGAAGCCATGGCTTTCCTCAGAGTCAGGTGCAAATGAAGCATCTGTGGAGACGGTCAAGATTGGGTTTTCGCCTTCTTCAACTTCAAACTTCAATCCATCATTGGCTGTGGTTGAGAGGTACCCCGTGAGCTGGTTGCTTGCTTGGATCACAGCCTCAGGAGCACGAGTCACAGCTGATCCCATCCTTGAGACCACGTACATGAGATCTGGACGAGCTCTTGTGGTTAGCCATAGCGCTTCTCCAACTGCTTTTTGCGCCAGGCGAACCTTCCCAATTGACGGAGATTCTTCTTTTGGCTCCATCGCAGCTTGATCCCTTGACAGCGGAATCTTCTTCGGTTTCACTTTCTCATCCTCCTTTTGAACCATGTCCAGAGTGTAGCTTTGTTGTGTCAACATCCACGCACATCACGCTGGATCTTTTCGTTGTAGACCTTGGTGAGTTCCATTCCAAGAAAACGAGTAGGGCCAGAGACGGGCTCTGGCACCGACGTAGTCCAAGTTCCTTGTATCTTTTGGATGACTGCTTCCAGGGGACCTTTGGGGCCGCGACCAAGATGTCATCGACATACGTCATTAACAACCCGTAGGTCCTTTCATCTTCTCCAGCACAAAGTCTCCACAGATTGGGTTCTGATTGAAGTGGTTCCAAGTTGAAGGTCTTGATTTTCCCCTCATAGTTCACCTGGATGTCAAAGGCAGTGATCGTTTCATCTCTGGTTAATCCCCAAAGTTTTGGAGATCTTCCGAGGCCATAGATGGCTTTTTTAGGGAGGTAATAGACGTCCTTCCTCAAATATTTTCGGTGAGAAGTGCAGGCGGCTTCACAAGGATCAGGTCTAGGACCATCTTCGCATTCAAAAATGCAGTGCAAACATCCAACGTAGATGCCAGCCATTGGAACCGAGAGGCAGACAAAACAAGTATGCGCAAGGCAGAAGCATCTGCCCCTGAGTTGAAGTTGTCTTCTTCGGGCTTTCGTGGTTCAAGGTTTCCGCAGGCTACCCAGCTACCCATCTCATTTTCTTTTTTCCACCTCCAGGACCTGGTTTCCTTGTGAAGACCAATTTTGAAGGAATGACGAGCTCTATACCTTCCCTTTTTTCTCAGCCTCCTGTTGCAGCCTCTTCAATTCTTCAGGAAAAAACTTCTCGGAAGGCTTCTTTTTCTCGTAGGAGTGATTCAACTTCGCTTTTGATGGCAGGCAGCCACTCCTCCCAATTTTCTGAAACCTCCATAAACCTCCTTTGGCGACACAATTCGTGTCTGCCCAAGATCTCCTCTTCTTCGTTTGGCAAAACCACCATTTTCTTCAAACTTCCCAAAACCATCAGTTCTTCAAGTGCAAGTTCAGGGTCATCGTCGACCATGGTGCACATTTCCTCCTCAATCATTCGAAGAAGATGCACTCCCTTTGTCTTTTCTTCTCTTTGAACTTCATCCTCACTTTCCTCCTCGATCTTTCTACTCGCTGATTTGCCTCTCATCATCCTTCTTCTAATCACCAGTGCGTCCACAGTTTCTTTCTCAATGGCGACCCAACCTTCTTCGGACAGTGGAAGGTGAGCAGGTTTCATGATCATCTTGGTGATGCGTGGTGGCTCATCTTTTGGAAGGGTCCAGTGGCCGTGGTCTTCAGGAGCAGGGCACAGGTACTTCACGGTTTCAGTGGAGACTTCAAAAGTGCCACGACGCCACTTTCTTTTGCGCACCATCACATCAGCCAGGAAGAGAAGCCAATCAGGCCGGTTGCCACAAGTCTGGCAGCTCGATTCAGCTCGTTGACAAAGCATGTTGCCCAAGGCCACCACTTTGCTTCAGCACCAGCTTGGAGAAGGATACGTCGGATCTGGGTTTTGATGGATTTCACGGCTGTCTCAGCACGGCCGTTGCTGCGGGGATCATTCCCAGGGGTTCGTGTGAGATGGATACCCCTCTCACGGCACCATTGTTTCAAGTGCCCTTGAAATTCATGTCCTTGGTCACTATGTATATGTCCCACATGATGCCCATCAGCTCGCGGAAGAGGACCACGTAGTGGATGATAAATTCTCAGTTCACCATCCTTCCAAGAAACTTCACAACCGAGATCATGGACCAAGTGTCCCATTGGAATGATTGGCTCGATGTCAAGGCGCTCGGTGATCATGACTCCACCACGCGTCACCTGCAAGGACGTAGATTCTCCATTGGGCCAAGGTCACGGCCACGGTCTTGCAGTCTCCATCAGATTCGCCCAAACGTCGAGGACGAAGTGGATGTGTAGCACCAGAATCGACAAGACCTGATGACCACCCGCTTTGATCTGACTGACCTTGAAGACCTTCAGTTTCAATTGATCCAGTTGTTGTTGAAGACAAGACATGACAGCTTCTTTGGGTTCTGACGTAGTTCCAGTAGAGCTCGAAGAAGTTGATGTAGAAGTCGTAGTCAACGACCTGAGCATGGTGTTGTCTTGTTCCAAGAGCTCCTTCATGGCCGAAACCTCGGACATAGTGTCTTCATCTTTCAGCCTCGAACTTGTTGAAGATGAATCCTCCCCCTCGACCTTCTGAACGCGCGGCTTTTGAGGAGACGATTCTCCCTTTTCTTCTTCTTTAGGCCTTGGACAAGCTGGGGACATATGGTCTGGGCATCCACAATTCCAGCAGCGGCGCTTCTCATCACGATGATCATGTGACCAGCTGCAAGCTTTACCACGCCGACAGCCCTGGTCTGTGAGAAAGAATTTGCACTTTCCTTTCCCTTATTCTCTTGATTCTTCACTTCTTGCTGGAGACTTCGCAAGCTGTTCAAATTCTGCAAGGAGGTGGTATGCGAATTGCTCCACATTGACATCGTTGGGTGTGGTGTCCACTCCAAGACCTGACCTCACTAAAGAAACTCGGAACTGCAGTTCCCTGTGGGCTTGCAAAAGTTTTCTTGTCATGCGCAGCAGCCCTTTCAATTGCAAGGCCGGGTCAGGAGCGACGGCTCCAATCTCCTTTGCACGATTTCTCCATCTCAGCCACCTTCTCAAACTTTGTGGGGTATCCAGCACATTCTGTATCCCTGGGGGCTCCTCCAAGTTTCGCAAAAGGTTCTGTTTCTCTGATACTCCCCCTGGGCTGTATGACACCAAGAGATAGGTGATCACCCCAAAGGTGTTGAGTCTCCTTGATGCCACCAATTCTTCACGTACTGGTTGAGGAACAGCTTGGGGCATCATGGAAGCCACTCGGCGTTCCAATCTTTGCAATTTTTCTTGTTGATTTTCTGCAGGAGCTTCCACGGGATGCTTGATGAGCCAGCGGACTGACGCTAACATGCCGCTTGTACCATTGTTCGGAGGCGTCGATCAAGGCCTTCCACCATTCAGCAGCTGACAACGACAGGTCGGCAACGATTGGTTCGACCAACAGCAGCCAGTCTCCAAGAATCAGCGGCCCTTGTTGACGCTCCCAAGCGGCAAGGAGTGGAAGATCAGGTGAGCCAGAGCGGATCGTTTCCACACCTCGTACAACTCCTGTTTCTTCTTTTCCGTTCATTCTTTTCTGCATTTTTCACAGACTCCATCATCAAGGCCATGAACTCCTGAACTCCATGGATTTTTCAGTGTAGCTTGAATCAACACCGCCTTTGGGTCATTGTCCCGGGGGGTCTGCGGCCTCCTTGGTGGTCTCAGCCTGTCCTGGGTTCTGCGGTGGAGGTCTGACAGCTTCCTTGGCGATCTCAGCCTTACCTGGGTTCTGCGGTAGAAGTCTAGCAGCCTCCTTTGGGCTTTGGCAACCTAGGTATGCGGATGGAGGTCTAGCAGCCTCCTTGGATACTTCAATCTCCTTGTTGATGGCATCTGGGGTTGAAAACTTTGGCTCATCCTCCTGACGAGGTCTATCTAAAGCTGCCAAACGGTCTTTCAACTTTTGATTCTCTTCCATCATCATTTCTAAGTCGCTTCTAAACTCTGCATTTTCATGAAAACAAGGTGATTGAACATCTGGATTGAAAACCGGTGGTTGTTCCCCAACATTTCTTTGACCCTGCAGCCTACGCTCTTCATGCTACAGAAACAAAGGACGTGCTAATGGAGGTTGCATCGGCAGCTGGGGCATCATCAGCTGTCCGCCTGGGTATATATATATATATATAGCCAAGGAGCTTGGCTAAAAAGTTCATGAAAACGCCGTGCTTGTTGTTCATCAAACAAACTCAAACAAAGGTGCATTCGGAGAGATCCCAGCACTGGTTGGTGCTGGAGTTGTAGAAGAGGGATCACCAGGATGTTGATGTCCATTGGAAACACCCTGCACATTCTGTTCCACCATTGGGACAACCTGCACATTCTGTTCCACCTTCGGCGCGTTCACGTCCATCACGGCTGGAACAACTGCTCCATGAGATTCAGAAGGCGTGCCAAGAGCAGGTGCTGGCGTCTTCGGTTCTGATTTCACCTGAGCAGGAGATGCGCCTGGTGTCACCTTAGTCTCTGCTGGCTTCACCTGAGGTGCATCCTGGACAGGTAGCGGAGGTGCAAAGGACTTCGGGGAACTTGCATGCTTTTCCTCACTTCCCTCAGCATCTTTCACCCTTTGGGAGGCTTTGGGGGCCTCAAAGCTATCAGTTCCGTCAGGCACTTTGACATCCTCAATTGGTTTTCCATCCTTTTTTCTGTGTCTTCTTCTAAACGCTTCTGGGCAGCTAACATCTCGCGTTCACCTTGAGCGAGTTCTTCAGGGCTTGCTCTCCTTCGGCTAAACATGGATGTAGTTGCGCTTCAAAGGCCACACTTTGGGCTCATTACCTAGTGGTTAGGCCCCACCAGGTTCTCCACCACCAAGCTTCCCACCTCGTCGTCCACGAAGTTCCGCAGCAGCTGATTTTCGCCAGAAGCTTGAGTAAACATAGCTACAGTAGCAGCTGGGAATTACAGGTTGGCTTGAAACATGTATGGGTGAATGCGTTGGCAAATGGTCAACTGCCAGCAAAAACAATCATCTGGCAAAGGATTTCTATTTAGACTTAGACTTCGAACATCAGAATCTGGAATGGTGCAAAGTCTCAGTATGTCTCAATGCCTAAGTCTAAGCGCCCATCTGCAACGAAGAATTGACCACTTGGAGTGACAATCTAATCAAGATTTGCTGACGTGGCTTAAGCTAAGCAATAGCGGTAGCGCATGAAGTGTGTCTGTGACTGGCGGCCTTTCCAAACACAATGCGCTGTCATCAGGGTATGAAATCAAATCCGGAAGCCCAACAAACTGACAAAACCAAAGCACGAGAACAAAACAAACCAAGTTACAACTACTTCTACACGGGCAGGGACATGTTGTTGTTGCTGTGGTTCGTGTGGTTCTTGTGGTTGTTCTGCTTCGCAATATATATATATATTTGAAAAGTTACAGTGTCTAAGCACATGCTCCTTTGAAAACAACAACGGTATACAAATATGTGAGTCAAAATAGAGACCCTCACCTGGCAGCTGGGGAAATACATAAAGGAGTCGGACACCAGGAAATCGCTATTGCCATGACTTGCCAACGACATTCTTAGAAACTAGCGTCAAAAATCACGCTATCAAAATCAAAAGCGGACAATTCAGCTCCTCAATGGCATGAATCCTTGTGCATTTGCCTTGGCGACTAGAAGAGGACATTTGGCCCGATTGAGGTTCATCAACCTTGGCACCGACAATCGCTGAATTCCAAACTATCTTGGATTAAGTCAAAGCTGTCTGGCTTCAAGGCTGCGTCATCTGATGTTCCAAACGGTATTCACCGGCGTGGGAGTCTAGGATGTGGAGGTTTAAATCCAAACATCAAAGGACTACATATTTGTTTAAATGACATGCAATCCATCCCACTCTGTGCTTAAATTCAAAGTTCTTGTCGTGGCGCGCAAACGATACCTCACATGCTGGTTGCAAACTGGTGCTGACACGTGAAATTGCAAGCGGTGATGAGGACCGAAAGGGCCAGCCATGGGTGGCCAGAATTGCACAGAACATGAAGAATCCATCGCTTTGAGCCATGGCACCTTCCTTCTGTCTTTGTCTCTCTGCAACCCAAGCAGTTCCAGCCGCATTCTGCTCATCTCCTTTCCCGTGTCTTGCTTGTC